GGGCCTTAGCAGAAGGAGTGGAGTGGGAGCTAAGTCTTGGGGTGGACCATCCCCGGGAAAAAAGAAAACTCAGTGCCTATGCTTCAGAGTGTTCCTTAGCTAGTGTATGCTATATCTAAAGCCAGCTCAGTAGAGCTGGTGGCTGCAGCGGAAGAGAAAAATGCCTCCCTTTTCCCACCGACCTAATGGTGGAAGGGCCAAGAGAGGGCAAAAGGGAGCCACTTCAGCCTCGGGAGAAGCCCAATGGAAGAGGGATCCCCTGAGCAAATGTAAGAGGAGGGTATCTCAGGGCAAGGAACAAATAGTATCTGAGGCCGCCAGGCAAACGTGCTTAACATTTCTGGTGTACGCTTCTGAGAAGGGACTGTGTAGATGCCAACTCTTGGGACCAAGTGCCATTTGACAGAGTGTACTACTCATCCAACAGCTCCACAGACTGATATCCTTTGGCCTGCTAAACCCAGGGTTGTGAGTTCAATTCTTGAGGGGGCCATTTAGGGATCTGGGGCAAAAATCTGTCCGGAGATTGGTCCTGCTTTGAGCAGGGGGTTGGACTAGTTGACCTCCTGAGGTCCCTTCCAACCCTATGATTCTAACTTGCTTCTTTTTGCTTTATGCTTCTCCAAGTGTTAGGGGTCTCACAACAGTAAATGAAAAGGCAATCTTAAATACCATATGGGGCATTACTGAGACACAGCAAAAACTAGTTCAGGATAGCCCTGCACAGGGGAAAGGGTGGAGGCACAAGAAGCTTCCCCACTTTTCTGCCACATGTATAGGGGCTGGTTACTATTGGAGTTCTTGTATTTTCCTAAGTACAGAACCGCTCTTTCTTAGTGCCCTCTGGGACATTAATCACCCTAAAATGGTTAGGGAGGAAGTAGGATGATGGCCCCGTTTCCCCTTCATTATCTGGTCATGCATCGGGACACATGCCTCACCCCCCAAAGCAGAGTAGCAGTGGATGTCTGCCCTATGTGCATCAGGGAGATCTGGGCATCATGCCTTCCATTCCTCTCCCAACACAAAGCTGTGGCTTAGAAGTCACAACAAAGCTTTTAATATTGTTATTTTAATACAGTTTATTCAGTTTTTGGTGCAAATTGTTATAGTATAATTCCATATTGCTTCCACTAAAATACTGAACTAATTCAATATGATGATGATAGTTATTACTATTAATACCAACCTAGTTTATAGCAATTGCTTTGCTTAGTTTAGGGCTTGTCTGCATGGCATCGCAAAGTGGGCTAGAGAGATGTGATTGGTAAAGAGCACTAACGTGCTGTGCTCTAATTTCACTGTATAGGCCCTGTTGGTGTGCTCTAAAAGGTACCCAGTTCACATTAACATAGTCCTGACTACGTTAATGTGAAGTAGGTACTTTCTTAGAATGCACCATTAGGTCCACATCAGGCGTTAAGAGTGCAACTTTACAAATCATACCCCCCCCAGTGCGCTTTGCTGGCACCATGTAGACAAGCCCTCAGTGGTGTTAAACCCCAGGGTAACACCTTTATAAGTACTTTTCATTGACATTAGTGGCTCACTGAGATGCACAGCATACAGTAGAAAAGTAGGGGAAAATTTAGCCCTGGCCTAAGCGAGTGCGTTTAGACCATACAATATACATGCTTTTTTGTAGGACTTCACTATTTTTTAAGACAGATGATGAGTTAATTGTGTTATAACCATTTCTAATGGAACTGCCATAGCTATAAGAATAATTTAGAATTATATGTGGCCAAGATTTTCAAAGATGAATGCCTACATTTAGGATCCTAGGGGAAGAATTTCAAAGGCACAAATAGCAGTTAGACACTTGACTCCCATCGAGTTTGAATGGAAGTTAGCCACCCAGTTGCCACGCGTACCTTTGAAATTCTCCCCCGGAAGTCCCTGTTTAGGTACCTGAACAAGTGTCCTGATTATCAATAGTGTTGTGCACCCAACAGCTCTGACTGACTTCAGTTGGGAGCTGCATAACGATCAGCAGCACCTATGAAAATCAGGTCATTTATTTAGATGCCTAAATGGGGATCTAACTTCAAGCACATATCTTCCCAAATTTTGGCTCATATTTCTAAGGCACTAAACCCCATAGTATATAAGCGCCAGAGACATGTTCATGTTCATATTCAGGCAAGATACTTCCATAGATAAACCTCACCTTTTTTGTAGGCACATGACTTACAATTCAGCATTTTTAGTTCATTTGTAACACTGTACTTAGTCATAGCAATTGTTGTCATTAACAATAGCTTATCATATTGCTTATTTTGATGACAGGAGGTTAACTATCCAATAGACATATTCCATTCTTGTAAGGCATTTTTAAAAAAAAATTCAAAACCCCCGTGAAACTGCTGAAAACTATGTAGATGGAAAATGGCACCAAAAATCACTGCAGGTGTATCTGAGTGTAGCTACCTTTTCTAGTCCAATTTTTGTATGCAAGGTCATCCTTCTGGTGCTACCTTAGAAACTGGCCTTATCCTATAGAGGACACTGAATGATAACACTGCAAGTCAGCTGACTGCTGTGTCACAGAGCTGCTGCTTTCTACATTATCGCAACTGCCAGAGCTCTTAGTGCTGCAGTTTTCTAGTCGCAGTGCGGCAAAGCAGACGCATAGAACTGGGCACAAAGCAACATAGGTTTTTTATTCTTCGATCTTTTTTTTATATGAGGGAAATTTACTTTTGTTAGCATAAGAGCAGACATACAGCCTGGATGTGCACATTGGCTTCTAACTTGGCAGCGTTTTCAGCTGAGCAGCTACTGCTCGGAGCCTGATACCCAAATTGCCTCTGATGAAGAACAACTGGTTTCCCACCTTGTTTACTAATAGTTTTTTATACCACGGTGATATACCTGCAAGAATAGGACAAAGGAGGCGGCACTTCTCACTGTCTGATTGGGGCCTTTGCAGCCACTTCACTGCTGAAGCTGTCTAAACGAGCCAAGGGTCACATATAATATTGGCATTATAGATCGATTGTAAGAAACTGCAGCAGTTAGAGCAAAGCTCAAACAAGAAACCAGACTCGCTGACCTAAATCAATCCCAGTCCTTCTGGATACAGGGCAGCAGTCGACTAGCAATGACACAACCAGCCATCAAGTGGAGAGTCTCTGGGATTGCAATCTGTGTCAGTTGGAGCCTGTGAGAATGAAACACTCCACTTTCGGTTATCCAATTGCTTCTTTTTTTTCCCCTTCTTTCCCTGTAAGCAGCTATTAATTGTGCTTGGTTTCTAAGTGTATATTTGTGTGGATTAGTCTGTCTGTAATGCAGTCCTTATCTGCTCTAGCTGGAAATCAGGGCACTAAGTCAGCCTGCTTTAACAGTTGTTTCTTTCTGCGTGATGCTATGCAGCTAGAATGGGTTACACTGACAACAAAGGAGGAAGCACAAAGCATCACTTTATCTTCTGGGCTGTTACAGGAACATAACTCTTTTTTTCAATATGATGCCGCCCTCTTTTTCTTTTCTGTTTTTTTTTAAATTCGTCTAATCGAAGAGCCTAACAGACAATCTCATGGATGTGGTTTTTAATGATTTGGAAAAGACAGCCTGTGGAGACTGTGATTTGAGACAGCAACACATTTAGGTTATTGCCAATTTGAAATACTTGGTTTGTGAAGCAGAGCCCTAAGGGACAAGCTCAGTAACTGAGAGAAAGATCGTAGATAAAGAAATAAAAATGACAAGCGTAATGGAGGTTCTGCAAAAGAGACTGTCAGAGAATCAGTTCATGGATGGCAATTTCACCAGTCTGAAACTGAATAATTCATAGAATGAAATTACCCTGCTTTCACCTTTCCATTTAAACCGGCATGATCTGAATCTCTAATAAATTTTCAAGATAAAGTAAAACGCCAATTTGAATCTGAAGAGCTTTTAAAACCAGATGCTACATTCTGAATCTTTCGATACCTTTCACAATTTTCCTGTGAGAACCGCACTTCATCACGAAGCACCATTACCAGTGAAAATTACTGTGATTACAATAGCAACAATAGAATATCATCAAATGATACCTAATTTTCCTAATTTACTAAGGCTGACAGTGTGGTTTTAATGCCCATCGTGTGTCATCATGTCTGGTATTGGATCAGTATCACACTGGAACAAAAATGTCTTAGTATATGCCTCAATCTTGGGTACTTTTAACTTTGAAAACACAGGAAAATCTATATACAGTTGTTAAAAATTTGCGTTGTAAGTGTGTTTTAAAGTATGAGTGATTCTCCATGATTTTGTTTAGCTCCTGAGTACTGGTTGGCATTATGTTACTAATTTGTTTATACCGTATACTTTTGCACAAAGACTGCAGCAAATGATTAACAGTGTGGAGAATCCGCACTATGAAAGCAATAGCAGTGCTTTCATAAATTAAGCCAATATGGGTTTTGTGCCTTATTTGAATAGTTAAATAGTTTTCAGGTTAAAAATCCTTTTCTGGAATTGCTGGTCATGGTTGCGTTACTTAAATATTTGATTTTTAAAATGCCCACCATTGCCAGTAAAAACAACTGTATGTAGCATTAACAGGATATTTTCCCCTCTTCAGCAATTAAACCATGATATGTGTATGCTCTGAAAAATATGTGCTGATCATTGGAAATCTCTTACTGAAAATAACTTCTTTTAACAAGCTGGGAAACACAGTGCTTCTGAATCTGCTCTCATTACGCCTTGAGAAGCTGTTCTGGTAACAAATCTTCACTTGGGAACTGGCCATAATTTCGTACAGCGGGATGCATGACTTCTGAAACAATAGGTAGCATTTATACAGTATGTCGGTTCTGACAGTTAGGATACAGGAGAGTATTTTAACATGTATTTTGAGATAGAGTCCTTATCATTTAATAGTAGGAGTGGGAGAGAGGCACAGAAGTTTAGAAATATGCATTCTTTACGGAGGCAGTTGTGGGTTTTTTTGGTATGTGTTTTTTGAGTTATATACCTCAGTTTTGTTTTCATTCCATCATCAGGTCTATTTTATCTTCAAAAGATATTTTCGAATGGAAAGAAGGTAAGTATTTCTACTTATTTCCATGATTGTGTAATATTTTCTATCTAATTTCATCTGGGGAAAAATGCACTTTTCTATTGTAGGTTTATATAGACAATTAGTATCTCATGGCATACTGTACAAAATATCCTCAGTATCTGTTTTTAATAAAACTAAATAAAGTAGATTTTAAAATAAAAATTGGTGTTCTTTAGTCAAAGTACATTTTTAAAAAATTGCTACACAAAAGACTTCTTTTTTTTACATTGAATGTTTGCTCTTAAACTTTATTTAATAAGGATCTACTAGATTTCATTATGAGTGTTCTTAAAACTTTGCATGGTACCATTTTGGATTTTAAGATACTGCGTTGTCCTACACTGTGTTATATCTCTGAATTTTCAGTATAGGAGTCCAGTCTGTGTTCATACTATGTGTAGAAGTGGCAGAAGGTTTTGCAGTTTGTGCTGTGGTAACAAAGGGCTTCGAAAAGGCTCTAAATATGCTTATGCAAAAGGTTTAGGTTTTTTAATATTCAGTAACTGTGATTTAGCAAACAGTTTTTCCTAGGCAGCAGATTCTTTAGCTGCTAAACTATCAGGAATTAATTAGTGTAATCAGTGATGTGAAAATCTATTTTGTGTTCTTCACTTTTAAAGTGGTATTCAGAAATTAACAAAGAAAGGTCTTTATACAGTGCAAAGACTGCTAATCTTTTGGTGAAAGTGTGAAAACTATGCTATGCTACCTTGGTAATAAAAGGCATAATATTCAAACCAAACTTTTCATGAGAGAATTAAAATAAGTATATTTTAGACTTTAGCTGCTTTATAACATATTTTACATTTGGTATGCATCTTAAAGATATAATAGATAATGTAATAAACTAGTGTAGAATATGAATTTTGCATACTGGAACATGAATGATTTTTGAAAAATTCCATACAAATATGGGTTACCACTGATATTAGTATTACAGTTGACTACTGGTAGTCCGTTGAGCCCTTCTGTTCAGATCCTTATACCATGTTCATCACAGTGGTGATGGTCTGTATAGAGTTGGGTGGTCACATGGTGCTAGCTGTCCTCATTTCCAGCTACAAAACAGTATTAAAAGATAAAAAAATGTATTTTTAGCAATGTCTTGATTTGTTCCCCTAAATTTGTATGGTCTGATCCAAAGCCTATGGAAGTCAGCTAGAAGAATCCCATTGAATTCCATGGGTTTTGGATCAGGCCCCTATTAACAATAAACGTGACTCCGATCCTCTTTGAATTGTCCCACCTTTAATCTGCCAATTGATTCCTTCTGTAGCTCCAAATCTACCTCATGCTTCAGAATAAGCAGTGCCGGTACCTGGTCCAGTCTAATATTACTTTTTTTATGTAAGCATCCGCTGTAGTTGCCAGAAGGTTGCTATGAGATGGCCACTAGGAGGGGAGGGAGTCTATGAGACACTCTGCTATAAGCACCTTATGAAAATGTTTGAGAACACTGCAAGTGAGCTATACATTTAGGTCTGCTGTATATTTAAAAATAAGCAGCCTCTAAATGTCATGTGCCTCTAAATATACTGCTGACTGTAAATGGGGGTGAGGGAGAGATACAAAACATTTCCAAAAATTAGATAAATGTTGGCATTGTTACATTATTAAAAATGGTTAAAAATATAACTATATATTCATATAGCAATGGCAACTATAGCAATAATATTTGTATGGTTGTATAAGCAATTAATAAAATGCAGCCAAAACTGAAGTATGCTGACATTGAGTAATATAATGACTGGAAGGTAGCTAATGTAACGCCAATATTTAAAAAGGGCTCTAGAGGTGATCCTGGCAATTACAGACCGGTAAGTCTAACGTCAGTACCGGGCAAATTAGTTAAAACAATAGTAAAGAATAAAATTGTCAGACACATAGAAGAATACAACTTGTGGGCAAAAGTCAACATGATTTCTGTAAAGGGAAATCATGTCTTACTAATCTATTAGAGTTCTTTGAAGGGGTCAACAAACATGTGGACAAGGGGGATCCAGTGGACTTAGATTTCCAGAAAGCCTTTGACAAGGTCCTTCACCAAAGGCTCTTACGTAAATTAAGTTGTCATGGGATAAGAGGGGAGATCGTTTCATGGATTGAGAACTGGTTAAAAGACAGGGAACAAAGTGTAGGAATAAATGGTAAATTTTCAGAATGGAGAGGGGTAACTAGTGGTGTTCCCCAAGGTTCAGTCTTAGGACCAATACTATTCAACTTATTAATAAATGATCTGGAGAAAGGGGTAAACAGTGAAGTGGCAAAGTTTGCAGATGATACTAAACTGCTCAAGATAGTTAAGACCAAAACAGACTGTGAAGAACTTCAAAAAGATCTCACAAAATTAAGTGATTGGGCAACCAAATGGCAAATGAAATTTAATGTGGATAAATGTAAAGTAATGCACATTGGAAAAAATAACCCCAACTATACATACAATATGATGGGAGCTAATTTAGCTACAACTAATCAGGAAAGAGATCTTGGAATCATCGTGGATAGTTCTCTGAAGATGTCCACGCAGTGTGCAGCGGCAGTCAAAAAAGCAAACAGGATGTTAGGAATCATTCAAAAAGGGATAGAGAATAAGATGGAGAATATCTTATTGCCCTTATATAAATCCATGGTACGCCCACATCTTGAATACTGCGTACAGATGTGGTCTCCTTATCTCAAAAAAGATATACTAGCATTAGAAAAAGTTCATAAAAGGGCAACTAAAATGATTAGGGGTTTGGAATGGGTCCCATATGAGGAGAGATTAAAGAGGCTAGGACTTTTCAGTTTGGAAAAGAGGAGACTAAGGGGGGATATGATAGAGGTATATAAAATCATGAGTGATGTGGAGAGAGTGAATAAGGAAAAGTTATTTACTTGTTCCCATAATATAAGAACTAGGGGTCACCAAATTAAATTAATGGACAGCAGGTATAAAACAAATAAAAGGAAGTTCTTCTCCACACAGCACACAGTCAACTTGTGGAACTCCTTGCCTGAGGAGGTTGTGAAGAGTTTAAAAGAGAAGTAGATAAATTCATGGAGGTTAAGTCCATTAATGGCTATTAGCCAGGATGGGTAAGGAATGGTGTCCCTAGCCTCTGTCTGTCAGAGGGTGGAGATGGATGGCAGGAGAGAGATCACTTGATCATTCATTACTTGTTAGGTTCACTCCCTCTGGTGCACCTGGCATTGGCCACTGTTGGTAGACAGGATACTGGGCTGGATGGACCTTTGGTCTGTATGGCTGTTCTTATGTTCTTATAATTACACATAATAAAATAAATGGTACAATCTACAAAGTTAAACTTTTTAACTAAAATCCTATATTATATTGTAGGGTGGATTGGCTCTGGCTTTGTACTTATTATTCCTTTGAAATGATGTACTATTACATACAATTATATACAATTTAATCTTCAATACGGGCAAAATATGGTCCCAGTCACTTTTGCACATGAGTAACTTAAATGGAGCTACTCACCTTAATAAAATTACTTGTGTATAAATGTTTGTGGGATCAGGCCCTAAAGCTACACTTGGTAGTGATCCTAATTCTATAGCACATATAACAAAATATTGGGACCAATTCTTCTAACATTGAAGTCAACGGCAGCATGATTGGTCCCGTTTGCTTTATGTTTATGGCCTTTTTGCTTTTTGTGAAAGTTGCTTTTGTTTCTTTCCTATAAGTGAAGTATATTTGATGAAATGATCAATGGAAGTTGCTTCCTGTATTCAAAGTATTCAAACACTCATATCCTGGAGTAAACAAATTCTAAGAATGAACATCCAGAATATGTTGGTTAATCATTTAGCAGGGAACAGCAAGATATTGTATTTCTGTTATAATGCAATGTACCATCCGGGCTGTCAATATTGCATTCTTATGGATACTATAAAACATGCTGGTTCTGGGTGGCCACTGCCTCTCTGAACTCCCTGATCTAAAGCCCATTAAAGTCAGTGGAGTACTCGAATATAGTAACTCAAGCTAACTGTTGCAGTGAAGACAAGCCACATCTCTCCCCCTCCTCTCTCTCCACAAACAGAGGCCCCAATTCAGGAAAACATCCCTAGTCAGAAAAGTCCTATGGGATTTAAGCATGTACTTAAGTACTTTCCTGAATAGATTTAAGTGCATGCTCAAGTTCCTTTCTGAATTGGAGCCATTTTGCAAATTAAGTGGGGTACTGAGTAACATAGAGAGGGAAGTCAGAAGTTGAGGCTTCCATGTTTTCTGTGGGTTAATGGACGGGGAATACTGAGGACAAAGCTGAGGGGTTGTCATAATTACTGTACATTCCTCTATTCCATTTGGCTAATGTCCTTCAGAGCACAGGCATTTTTTTTACTGTATAGTTACTAAGAAATAACTGTACACTCTGATGGAAATCTGAGCCTCTCAGAATGCAGAGAAATGGATAACTGATGAGTGTACAGTTATGCATTGTAACTCTAGAGTCCTCTGTACTCTGGCTGATATAATATATAAAAACAATATATTCTTATTTCCAGAAAGAAAACTATGGTACATGCTGTTAACCTTAACTCCATCTTACAGTAAATTAAGGTTAAAAACAAATTACAAGGATGTTGTAGGCATCCCAAAACCAAGCATTAGAAATCCAGACAATTCAGTTACTGAAAAGAAACCCAAGCATTTTAAGATAAGAAATACCTAATTAAAGTACCCAAACAACTTTACTTTGCCCTGCAGTAACTCCAGAGGATGACCATATGATACATTAAGTTGCCTAAATCAGAATCTATGGTTCTAAATTAAATTAAATTAAATTGATTTTGAAAGGATTAGATTTTTAAAATATTTATTTTCATAACAATTAGATACAATGATCATTAATAACTTATCTTAATTATAAATTAATTTCTTCAAATGTAGCCTATGCACAAGATTTCTGTTAACTCTATGGAAAATTGAAGAGTCTACTTTATTCCAGTGTTAAGATCATTCAGGACAA